TGGTTTTTATCACTTGTTTGAGGCTGGTTTTCTGTTCTCCTTGCTGCCCCTATTCAAATAAATATTTGGAGGTTATTTTGGTTTTGAATAACTATTTGGGCCGCGGTTCCTGCTCTTCTTGTTGCTCCTATTCGAATATATATATTGAGATCATTTTTTTGGTTTTAAATATCAGATTTGGGGCTGCAGTTTTGCTCCTCTTGTTGCCTCATTCAAATACACGTATTAGAGATTTATCTTTGGTTTTTTTTTAGAATTAATTTGGGTCGCAGTTCTGCTCTTCGTGCTGCCTTTATTCGAATACATATTGGAGATCTTTCTTTTGGTTTTGAATATTAGTTTGGGGCTCAGTCTTTTTTCCTCCTCTTGCTGCCCTTATTTGAATATATGTGTTGGAAATTACTTTTGGTTTTGAATAATCAGTTTGGGGCTGGTTTCTATTCTTCTTGTTGCCCCTTATTCGAACATATGTTGGAGATTATTCCTGGTTTTGAATAATTAGTTCTGGAGCTTAATTCCTGCTCTTCTTGCTGCCCCTTGCTCGGATACATGATTGGAAATCATTTTCTGGTTTTAAAAATTGCTTTAATATCTCGGTTTTGTTATTACTACTCTTCTTTTAATATACACTGGAATTATTTGGTGTTTTGGATAGTTGCTTTAGTGTCTCGAGTAATAACTCAATTTTATCCCCTTTATGCTGGGCTCAAGCTTGTCTTTTTGTGGTTCGATTTAGCCCCTTTATGCTGGGCTCGAGCTTGTCTTTTTGATGGTTCGGTTTACCTTTATGTGGGCTCGGGTCTTAAGGTCACTAAATGTGAGTGGTTATTTGGTTGATTGTGATTGTTTACATTATTTCTACTATCTCTCTACTTTCAGTGCTAATTTCTGCACATCCCTCAGTGTCCAATAGGGTTGCAGTTGGACAACATTATTGATGACAAACTTCATGCCTCCCAAGTACCTGGTTATGGCCTGCTCCTTTGTCCCCCTATGCTCACACTTTTAACCTAACTTGCATCAATTTTGTTATGCACTCCTCCATTAATTGCTCATTCGTTTGCAGGTAGTCGAGCTTCAAAAAATTAATTTGTCAGTAGTTTAGGGGTAGACATTGTCGTTGCATCTCCCATTTCATTTTCTCTTAAGAAGTGAAACTGTCATGTCCCTTTCTCTCTCTATCTCTTCTCATTCTCCCACCATAAGAAGCCTTCTTCTGCAACTTAAAGGCACCAAGCTTCACTCTTCTATCATCGAGCACCTATGTGTATTTAAATATCTTGTTAACAATCTGCATCTACTCAAGGAGGTCATCTTGATTTTTTATCTCCTCAAATTCTCATAGGTCCAAATTCATTCTGAAATCTCTGTATCCTTCAATATGCATGTCATCTATGTATATTCTATCATATTTGCATCCTTCAAAAGGCACCCCATCTATGCATCCTCCGACATACACCTCATCTCTATATCTTCCAATAGGCATTGCAGCTCTAAGATTACTATGCCTCAAAGCATTATTACTTATCTTCTTCTTCATTGTAATCAACCCTAAGGAAGGCATTTAATTTTTCTTCTTGCTCTCCTTTAAGGATTCCACTATTATGGTTGATGATGATCCCACCCTAAGTTCTTTCCTCAATGATAGCGAGCCGAAGCAGTATTAGGTTGCTTAATCGTTGTATGTCATCCATAGTAGATGCTTGAGTAGGGTGGTAGGACATAGGGCTAACTTTGATGCCAAATGAAACTGAAGTTAACCTACACAACAACAAAATTGTAAATTTTATTACTGAAATTAAATAGGGTTATAATAAATATATACGACAATAGGAAATATAAACAAATGTCACAACACATAAACCCAAACTAGGGATAGAGTGATGGTGGTTGGGTAGCAGAAAGGAAGGGATGGGTGCAATTGGTGCAGCAGAAGAAGGTTTGGTTGTTAGTTGGGGTAGCTAAGAGGTTTGATGGATGAGTTGGTGGAAGGTTTTGTGACAGTTGTAGGAAGGAAGGGAAATTATTAGTTCAAGGAAGGCTAGCTATGAGTGAGCACTCACATGTGGTGAAGGAGGAGAGGTTGGAATTCAGAGAATGGTTGAATGTAGGTTATGACAAGGAAAAATAAAAGCCTAATGGAAAAAAGAAGTGATTTGGACTGGGACAACAAGGTGGGAAACAATGCCTTGAGAAGGTTGTTGTCAAGGAGGAGTGCATCAAGGTAGGGGGAAGAATTGTGAGGAGGATTAGAAGGTCAGGGGTGTCTGCAGAGAACACAAACTACTGTTTGTGAGACTACATCGAGGAAGGTGGGTTGCGCCTGTGAGAGGAGGGCTACAAAGGATGAGTGAAGTCGGAAAGGAGAGGGAATCGAGGATAAAAATCCGTGTGAGTGACCTATAGCTGGAACACCGCTGAAACTTTTGGAGAATGTCATCACCTCGGACGAGTTACATCCAAAACACCTTATTACCTTTGGATACAATTCTAGAAGGGGAAAACCTGGATGATGGCAACTGTCTTAGCATAAACATTAAGAAAAAAAATTAACTCTAGACACTTACAAAAAATAAATAAATAGACATAAAATAACTAGGAGCAGAACCCACTTCAATTGGGTGGCAAAACTAAGGAAAAAAAGATTATTCCGGCTCTCAGGAGTTCTGAGTCGAAACGACCCATAACCAGCTTTCTCTCTCTGTAGTAAAAAAGACCTACACTCATGCCAATAAGTCTATGCAGATATTATGAATGAATCAAACTTCCAATTATATCATATCGATTTGATGAGATTTGTGTATGGGCACTGAATAGATGAATTTTACTTTAGCATAAGTCCAAAAAGAAACATTTGAGTAGGATTTCTTAAATTTCAAAGGACAACAATTTGATTTTATGTGTTAAAGTGTGTCATTTGAACAACCTTGATTTAATGCAAAAAAATGAGAAATCATGATGAATGACACCCAATAAAAAATAATGTTTAATGTCCACAATCCATCATCTTGGAATGTTTATTGTCAAGCACAACCTATTTTAATATTGAAAGAACAATTAAGTTGACCACACACCTTATTCCAACTTATGACATTCTCATTGACCATCACTCAACACCTTTCGACAACTAATAACTAATTTCATCTAATTAACAACATTTTAATTTGATCAACCCAATCATATATTCTCTCATTCAATTTAGATAATAACCCAGATGATTGCCCACTATTAACAACCTTACATTTGTTGTATTAATCATCACTCAACATTTGTTAGTGAATAATGAACGACAACTGACGTATGTGTGTTGTTGATGCTTGACATTCATCTTTCAAATTATGTGACATTTTCTCTCATAATAAGAATGTTCAATATATTCACTATATGTTAACAATTTTTTTTATATTCCCCGCTATCACTTGATGCTTATTAATGATTGATATTTAAGTGTTTGCCAACTGCCAACATTTTGACCCTCATATTTTTGATCAACCAATATCTTTACATATTTAACTTCTGATTTTTCATGTTGGTAATTACCTAATGTTTGCAAGTAATAAATATTTATTTGTCACTTATGTCTGAAGCTTACTTCCAAGTTGCTTGGTTTTTATTAAGAGAATGACAAAACTAATTTCTTACCTTTACTTGCCTTTTAATGTTCTTTATTGATTGCCATTTAAGGATTCTCAATGATTGAATTTTGAGGTTTGCCAAATATTAATTCATGGTGCTGATCATCTTGATTATCTAATTGGCATAGTTAACATAAGAATGACAAAACTAATCATTCTTCATTGCCTGGCTTCTGAGGAGCCCATCATCAAATGATCATCAAATATTGGTCGTTCAACGAGTCACTTCTCATGGTATAATCACACACAATGGCTTTTTTGTTCAAATTTTATATTATATCATATTAGATTAATATTTTCTAGGTCATCCAATCTATTCAGTTGTTTGAAGAATAATTTAGTTAACCACACACTATTCCAATCTATGGTGTTATCAGTGATCATCACTTAACACCTTCCAACAATTGACATCTAACTTTTCTCTAATTAACAACATTTTACGTTGATCTTCCTATTCACCTACTCTTTCATTCAATTTAGATAGTTACTAAAACGACTACCCATCATAAATCAAGTTCTATTATCTTTTTTTAATCATCACTCAACACTTGCCAATGATTAATGAATGATGATTTTATGGACTCCTCTCCAACTAGAGGAGTGATCAAGATATTCACTTTATGTTAATTGATTTTTTTTTATATTCCTCACTATTACCCGATGCTTATTAATGATTGATGTTTATCTAGTGTTTGATAACAATAAATATTTGATACTTATCTTTCTAACAATGCTTGACATTCATCTTTCCAATCAACCAATATCAATGCATGCTTAACTTCAAATTTTCCATGTTGGGAGTCGTGTAATGATTGCAAGCGATTAATATTTGCTAGCCATTGAGAGAGAAAACTGACTTTCTAATTGCTTGGTTTTTTGTTAAGAAAAAGATAAAAATTTGATCATTTACTATTGCCTGACGTTTAACATTCTTCATCAATTGCAATTTAACACTTCTCAATAATTGAAGTTTGATATCTACAAAATCCTAAATTTTGACGATCATCATCTACATCATCTAATTACCCCACCTATTAATAGAATGACAAATTAATCCTTTTTTATTGCCTAACGTATTATGAGATGCTCATCATTAAATAATCATCTAATACTCAACTTTCGATGACTTTGAGCTTATACTCTCAAGACAACTCATATTATAATCACATAAGATGAATTTTATGGTCAAATTTATTATATTTTATCAACAAAATTTTAAATTACAAAAGATAGTTTTCTTTATAATCCTTTATTTAAAAAATATAAGATAAATTTAATCTTAACACTGCATAGGACGCCACGTGCGCATCGCGCGAATACTATAAAAAACGGACGGACAAGATGCCGCCAGACCGAAAAATAGTCCTTCCGATAAAAGGGCAAACCAGAGAGCTTTTTTCGACGATAATGAACTTGGAGCCTACGGAAAGACCGGAGTTCATATGGGACATCTCCACGTCTCCGGAGGCTTGTCGCCGGATCAACTTCCCCTATATTTGACCTCTGAACTTCCGCTTCTCATCCCAATTCACCCGTCTTTCGTAGAAACTCACCTTCCCCCGTCGATTTCTTCCTAAAATGTCCTCTTCTCCTTGAAGCTCTAGGGTTCCTTATTTCGGATTGGAATCTCTTGATGGAGAGCCTTCCGATGGCGACGGAGAAGCAGTTGCTAGTCTCCTCTTTCTTAGAAATCGCTGTAGGCCAGACCGCCGAGACTGCCATCCAGTTCCTGCAGGTTCGCTTGCGCACGGCTGATTTCTCGGATTATTTATTATTTGCGCTTTCTTACTTTCTGATCGATCGGAAATTCTGTTTTGTTGATCAATTACGATATGGATGGATGTAATGTGAGGCTGATTTTCTTAACAAGTTTGCTCTGGTGGTTCGGCAGGCTACGAGTTGGAAACTTGATGAAGCTATTCAGCTTTTCTATGTCGGGAACGATGGTGGCGGAGGCGGAATTTCTTCTTCTTATGAGTTGCCTCCAGTTGATCTAAATTCTAGGTGGTTTATTGGCTCGATTTTCACGGTGCGTACTTTTTGTGAATCATTGGTTGATGGATTGCATTTCTTTTGTTGCTGCAGCGGAGTAGAGAGTGTTGCTGCCTTCAGCGGTGATGGGAGGGACGCTGATCCTGATGGAGTGCGAGCTCCGTTGCCTGTTAAGAGAGACACTTTGTATGGTGATGCTTCTTTTATGAGGTAATTATATATTATGTTATTAATTTTCTGAGTAACGTGTTTATGGTGAATAGGTAGTTACTGGAAGAAGCTTTTGAATGTTTTTTGGATGCATTTATTTCAAATTTATTGTGGAGCAGTTTGCTATTAAAAAGGGCGCTTTCCCTTTAGGTTGCTACAATTTGCAGGCTTTGTTATAGTGCGATCACAGGTGTTATATATGAAAGATATTTACTTCTGACCTTTCTTCTGAACCTTATATGCAAATGATTGGATATCTTGGGGTTGACTTTGTCCATTTTCACAAGGCTCACTATTTTATTTTATTCTTCAATAATTGATTCTATAGATCTCTTCTTCCAAGTCACACTGCCCTTGTTTCAAAGCTAATTTAAAGTTTTAGGAATAGTATTACAAATCAAGCCTCAGGAAGTAAAAACCCTCGACTTAGCATTTTCAGATTTAGAGGTTGTCTGGCAACTAATTAAGGTGGGATTAACTTAAATATGCTTGACAAAATTAAGAGCAGTTTTAAATCACAGATTTAGTAAATTCAGTTTCTTCTCAATTCCTCTCAGTTTTGTCTTTAATCCTGGATTTACTATATCCTGGCGTTGGCAGGATTTAGTAATCCTGATTTGCAGCTATTACCTGACAACCCCTTATGGTAGGCATATCAACAAGTTCCTGTGAAAAGCTATTTCCTTTGGGCTATCAATATGTGAATTGATTAGCATTAACTACTCTAAAAGAATTTAGCTCGAAGAAAAGATGCTCTCTTTTATTTACTGCACCAATGATTTGGTTGAGGTGTAGCATCAAATCACTTTGATGAAGGATTTTTATATACTTGTGTGCTCATGGTACCATTTGATTGCCATTTATAATGTCAAACTTGCTTCTTTTGTTCCATTGGCTCAGTTATGACATTCCTACAGTTCATTAAATAGGCATTTAGCACTAAACATTAGGTTAAATTCCCTTAAAAAATGCATTTTGGTATCAATGTTTGGTGTGGAAATGGCAAGCTGTAAGGCAATTCCTTTGCTTAAGTAAGTTGACATTTAAATGAGTAAGTTGATAAGCTTTTTATATAGTTGTTTGGTTAACCTTATGAATTAGTTTATCCTTTATGAACATGAAAAGCTGTGGAGCTAGTCTTTTTTTTTTTTACCAATAAACCCTCATTCTTTCCAAGAATGTTCGTTGAATTTTTAATTTCTATTTGCTTATTCCTATTATTTTTTCTCATATGAATCAAATTTTCTTCTTATCAGATTTCTTTGCTAAACCTTTGTAATTTTCGAAAGACTGTTCTATGCTGTTGACATAATTCTCTTTGAACATAAATAAAGTAAAATTCAAGTGAATGGGCAGTCTTTGGGACCATCAATAGATGTTAGTGCTGGTTTTTGTCATATTATGGATCCCATATCGCAATAAAGGGATTCATGGAGAATGGAAAATTTGTAGTTAGGACCATTGGGAAGTTCCTAACCCAACACTACTTGCATGGTTTACAGCAAATACATTGTGCACAAAAGGGTTTTTGACCAAGTGAAATTGTGCATCTCTTTTTTTTTTTTTTTTTTACACAGCAGCTGGATTCAACAGTACTGCTTGCAACTCAGTATTACCAAATTGATTCTCGCACAACCTTTTTTTTTTTTTAAATTTTGAAGGTACATACTCATAAGGATGTTCCTCTTTCTTATCAGGCATGAACTTTAGATGCTTTACTGTTAGCATGGAAAAAAAATTATTTACTAAAACACAAATTCAGGTTCTTATTTTTTTTTATTGGCTATAGTCGTATGGAATTCAAATGATCATGTCTATTATCTTCATGGATTGGGAAGCAATTCTTACACTATTGCACATTACTCCTATAAGGGACTTGTTTTGTGGTTATATTTGTGCATTGCCAAAAAAAAAAACATTCAAAGCTTGCCACTTATATTTCATTTGGAAGTTTTTGCATGTAATGATAATTCTTCCCCGATTAATTTAAAACCGACTTCTATCACCTAGGTGAGACATAGTTTGAAATGAACCAATGCACTCGATGAACAACTCGAACTCAGCTCAATTAGGACTCGATCATGTTCATTCAAATTAGTAAATAAGCAAGCTTGAACAATTTTTAAAAACTTGAAACTTAAGTGAACTAAACATGAACATAAACAAATTGTTCATTTATGTTCGTGAGCAAATTCGTTTGTTGTTCAACAATTAACTTGTTAAGTACTCGACATTAAGCTCCATGATAGCTCGTATCGTATATGATATATTATTTAAATAAAATTTAATTTACTAGAGTATTAACTGGTTTGTTGATAACTTGTATCATATATGATATATAAATATTCAAATATTAAGTTTATGTGATTTTAAAGTTGTCATTTCTAGTTGTTTTGTAGGATTTAGGTTAAATCATGCTTAAATGCTACACAAATCATTCTACTAAACAACTCATAATTAAGATATTTATGGCAAAATAAAGGAGAAGTGAGATTTAAGATGTTGCAGGATTTAGAGTTTTTAATCAATAAATTAATAGTTGCGATCATATTTATAAACTGTTTATTGATTTTTTCTGTATGAAAATCTAGATACTCATATAAATTTTAGGCTCGTTTAGGTATTCGTTCACTTCTCATAAACAAATCAAGTTCATACACTGAAAATTTTAAACAAGTCGAGCTTGAACATTTTACGAAAGCTCGGCACACGTTCAAGCTGAACATAAACAACTTATAATTGTAGCAAGCCAAATCTAAACTATGATATACTCGACTCTACTCGACTCAATTACAACCCTAATAGGCACTTAGAGTTTTGGGCATGGGGTAGGAGTTAGGAGAATTTTGAAAATCAAATGAACATTCTACCATGTGTAGGAATCGATTTTATTCACAGATATTTTTTTTGAGTTTCATTTTGTAGGTCTGGTGACTTTGATAGGTTTGGAATGCTTATCCCTCAAGCTCCATTGAGCATAGCGGTTGTATTTGCTTATGTTAAGTAAGTCAAAAGTTTTGTTATTGAAGGCATCTGTTGTGGTTTAAATTACCTATAAAACAATTATCATTCCTTGTTTATCCATCCCATTATGGGCTTGTATGCATTACATAATATATTTTCCATGAGCTGCAAAGTTTCTTTGCAAATTAGAATATCAATTTTAAATTTGTTAATTTTTCATTTTAATGTTCATCTGGACTATTAACTAGATGCAAATTAGTAATCTAAGCTTTGGTTTTACTTTTGTTGATGATGTTTTTATCCTCTTCTGGTTTTTAGAAATTTTAGTTATAATTTTAGTCATTTTAATCATGCTTATGATGACTCCTAAGGCAATAAGTTGTGCACTCTAATGTTATGACCTTCCTCTTTGCTAGTTCAGTTTGGCCTAATGTTCTTCATTCATACCTTCTTTTGGTTATTTTACATTCAATTGGATTGATTGATGTTTCTCTATAGCAGTTGCTACTTATGTCGGTTTGATTTAATTTTTGTTCCCTAAGATTGCTTGGTACAATTATATTGTTAGTTTTAGTAGGCAAATTTGTTGTTAGTATAGTTTCTGTGGATCTTTGGGGTGTGACGTGAGGTGCATAATCATTGTTTGATGACTTATTTTTGATACTTCCATGATCTATGTCAATTATATTGTTATTAAGATATTTCCTTGAATGCACATGAATAATGAACCAATCTGTTTTGCATAAGAACCAAGTCACGGCTAGGAAGTTATCTATTGGACCTTGAACTCGATCAAGATTATATATGGCTGTAGATATTTGAGGCATGTGAACTCAGGATTATTTTTAAATAAGAATATCGTAATCTTTGGAGTCATTGTTTGGTTCAATGTTAATTATTTTAGCGCAGTACATGCCTTGACCATTAAATTTCAGGGGAAGTTATTTTCTTTTCTTCAATGATGCCTAAATTTTTAATATTGGTGCATTTTTCCCTTAATTATTTTTTCTTCTACAATTTTAATAATTGATTTTTTTGTGTGACTGAAATTTGGTTAAAGTTTGTACGATTTGGCCCTCTCTGATTATGTGTGTTTTTTTGTTGGCGTGTGCTTCTCATTGGTCCTAATTTTTTGTGTAGATTTTTGTTGGGTGATTATGAACATACTGTCTGTCTAAAAAATTTTTGGTTTTTTTATTGTTATTAAAGAGGTGAATTTTTTATTTTAATTGGTCTATGAACTAAGAACTTTACATTATTGTGTGATTTTCTATTCTCATCCTAAATTTGCATTAGGAAACTTATAAACACTCCCTCCGGCCCCCCTCCCGACTACCCCCCCCGGGCCCACTCCAATTATTTCATTATTGTAGTCTTTATGTTTTGATTATTTTTATCTAGGTAGCAGAAGTTGAAGATTCTTTGAGTTATGATTTTATCCATCAACTTTTGAATTGTAAATGGCCACAATTTTTCCATTGGTTTCATTTATTTATTGTGGAAATTTGGAAGCTAGCGCATTTCTAGTGTAATGTAGCAAGGGATCATCAATTACTTCTATGACATTAATTTGAAAGACATGATCTTAATTATTAATGATGAACAACACACCACAACGTAAAATTCTCTTGGAGCCAGGAGACATGATGTTGTGTGCGCTACATGAATCCTTTTTTCCTTCGCGTCTTATTGAGTGTCATATTTTTATTTAATTCTAATAGTTTTTTTAGGCCTAACTCTATCTTTCTTAATATAAGTCGAATCTAAAACATTTTCTCTCCTAACCGGATCATTAGATGGTCGACTTTTAATGTGACCAAACCATCTAATACGGCTCTTTCTAGTATTATTCGGCACTGGAGCTACACCAACCCTATCACGGATATGTTCATTTCACATTTTGTCTCTTAAGTGTTAAGCCACTCATCCATCTAAACATCCTCATCTTGGCAACACTTAACTTTATTTTATGCTTCTCTTTTAAAGATCATTATTTTGTGCTATAGAGCAACAATCTTATAACATATTATTAATAT